TCTGATTGTGTTACTGATTATTTTTGCTATTTTTTCTTTTAATTTTTCATTTTGATAACTTGAGGTTAGTTTTGGAGTGATCATTATATTTTGTCCGGAAATTTTTACCGAGTTTTCTCTCTTTTTTGCCGTGTTTTGCTTCTGTCCTTCATCTTAAGGGATGAATAAATAAAGTTCATTTTTAAGTATTTTTACCTGCAGGTTTGATGTATTTGAGCTGCTGAACATGCGAAAGAATAAAAGTTTAAGTGACAGAATTGATGCTTGTTGTTGTGCAATGTGGCAGAATTTCCTTTTTCCGGACACAAAGAAAACTCTGTCCGGGTTTTCCAGATGAATTCCAGCCGTTTGCACGTGCGCGAGCGTGCACGTTTGGGAAGGGAGCAGGTATTCCTGCAGGCCCCGGGCAGAAAGACGCTTTTTGTTTTGCAGGCCTGAATCCCGTCTCTGTTAACTCTCCCCCTCCTCTCCCTCCCCTCTTCCTCCCCTCTTCCTCCCCTCTTCCTCCCCTCCTCTTCCTCCCCACAGAGAGCAGAGTCATCCCAGAAGGAGGTGAGTACGAAATGTCCAAATCCTCCTTCAAACACTCGGAAAGTTCACATTTTTTCCCTCCGATTTTCTCCGTTAAGGAGAATTTGCTGAATTTAATAAGTGGAATTCTTTCTGAAATTTTCCCCAATTTATTATCCGTTTAAATATCAAAGATTGTTTGGAACTAATTTAGAAATCAGACATCTTAAATGAAGATGTCTTTCAGCCACTTCTACAGAAGTCACCTAAAAACACCTGAACATAACATTTGTACCTTTTCTTTGCTATTTTTTTTTAATGTGTTATTTAAACTGGAAAACCAGGTTGAATTCTTGTGTACATTTAGTCAATAAAGTGATTTCTAATTTTTAACTGATTGCAAGTTAAGAAACATTTTCTACATAAAATGTTTGACAACAATGAAATATTTCAATTATTAATTGATCATTAAAGTTTGATCATTTATATATTTCACAAAAAACATAGAACAGGTTTTAGATCGGGTGTAGACCTGTATGTATTGAAGAGGATTAAAAAATAATTTATTTTCAAGTTTATATATATTCATATTTATACATACATTTTATATATAATTTGTATATATATATCTTTTAATTTACATTTTTATTTTTTTATATTATGGAGAATTCAAAATAATGAAATTTTGCTAAGTTCTTTAGGAGGATTAAAATGTGCAAATAGCCACAAATGCAGCGTGTGAATGGAAATTGCTGGAAATGCGTCTATTTCTCTAAACGAATAGGATCTAAACTAAGAACCAGAAGCTTTTAGCTGACAAAAGCAGGTGTGGTTCAGTCATCCAGTGGAAAAACGTGTTCTTTATCTCTTTTCTTCTGCGTCACCATCGACTTCTCACCTGGTTGTGCAAAGATATTCTCATTTATCACCAACTCTGCATGGCCTGGAGCAGCATTATTAATTATTATCAATTAATTAGGATTATTAAGGTATTTCTGGTTGTGATTCTGACTAAAACGGGGCTGGATTCAGAGTCTCTGTCGGGTTGTTTGCTCCTCAGCTCCGTATGAAGAGGTTCCAGCCGCTCCCTACTGGCCGTACTCCACCTCCGACTTCTGGAACTACGTGGAGTACTTCCGCTCCATCGGGGCCTACAGCCAGATCAACGAGATGGCCCGGGCCTTCTTCGCCCACCAGCACCTGGGGGACACTCTGGGGTACCAGACCCAGTCCGGCCACGAGCACTGAGACGGGACGAGGAGGAGGGAGAACCAAGAGCAGAATGCATAACTTAAAAAAACAAACAAAAAAAATTCTGTTTCTTGATATATAGTTGTTCGTAGCATAGCCATGCATAGAGACTACAGGTAGAGCATATAGCTGTGTTGTAGGGCTTTATAATCTACTCATTTAATGTAATAAAAAGAATAAAAACATTTGACGATAAGGATGTTATGTCTAAGAAAGCTTTGTGTGTTCTTACAATATCTTTTTCCTCTCTCTTCTCTTATCATACGTTACAGGAGTCCATTTTAATTAGGATTTTATAGATTATTTATCAATAAAAAAATATTTTTTATATTTTTTACATTTTTTTGTTTCATATTGACCTTCCTCTGTCTTGATTGAGTTTTTCATTTCTTTTAAAAGAAAAAAGTTGTTAGGCACAACAGATATGATAATATTCTTATAATTAATCAAACAAAACGCACAATAATATGATAAAATACAGTTCAGAAACAGCATTACGTTCTGGGGGCAGTTCAGAAAAGAATAATTTGAATATAATAACACATTTCAATAAATCAAATGAAGCCAAAACTATGATGGCTATCAGTATCAAGGTTGAACTTGTCTTTGGTGTGTAAAGTTTTCATCAAAGGTTATTAAATATATAATAACATTGTACAATTAGCTAATTCGGCGCCGGAAGCGGAACCTTTCAGAAGAGCCAGAAGAAGCCGGACACTGATGAGTGTTGCGCAACCGTAGCTTTTTTACAAGTACAGACCCATCAAGTTTAGCTAAGCTTGCTGATTTGAAGCAAGTCCTTCGCGTCCGTGCCAATAAATCAAATGAAGCCAAAACTATTATGGCTATCAGTATCAATGTTGAACTTGCCTTTGGTGTGTAAAGTTTTCATGAAAGGTCATTAAATGTTTACTTAATAACATTGTACAATTAGCTAATTCGGTGCCGGAAGCGGAACCTTTAAGTCGAGCCAAGCGGTAAAGCCGGACACTGATGAGTGTTGCGCAACCGTAGCTTTTTTACAAGTACAGACCCATCAAGTTTAGCTAAGCTTGCTTATTTGAAGCAAGTCCTTCGCGTCCGTGCCAATAAATCAAATGAAGCCAAAACTATTATGGCTATCAGTATAAATGTTGAACTTGCCTTTGGTGTGTAAAGTTTTCATCAAAGGTCAATAAATATATAATAACATTATACAATTAGCTAATTCGGTGCCGGGTGCGGAACCTTTAAGAAAGAACCAGGCGGTAAAGCCGGACACTAATAAGTGTTGCTCAACTGTAGCTTGTTTACAAGTACAGACCCATCAAGTTTAGCTAAGCTTGCTTATTTGAAGCAAGTCCTTCGCGTCCGTGGCAATAAATCAAATGAAGCCAAACATATTATGGCTATCGGTATCAAGGTTTAACTTGCCTTTGGTGTGTAAAGTTTTCATGAAAGGTCATTAAATATTCAATTAATAACATTGTACAATTAGCTAATTCGGCGCCGGGTGCGGAACCTTTAAGTCGAGCCAAGCGGTAAAGCCGGACACTGATGAGTGTTGCACAACCGTAGCTTGTTTACAAGTACAGACCCTTCAAGTTTAGCTAAGCTTGCTGATTTGAAGCAAGTCCTTCGCG